TTATCCAGCTCTCCTTCAGTGAATAGAAATCAATGTGCCCTTTCCACATATAGCCAGGAGACTGTCTTTTGGGAGGTGCTGAAATATTAATTAAACTGTTTGGCACATCTCTGGACAGCAGAGGAACGCACAAATGATCCAGATCCCATAATCATTGTACATTCAAAGCTCCCGGATCAACCTCTGGAAGTTATACCTGTACAAGGAATGCAGGGTCTGGCTCAACACAGACAATCTGAATAACACTGTGGGTAGTGTGGCGTGGCACTTTCTGATTTTAGCACATGCCTGAGCTATAATTTTCAACTGCCCTTGTGTTTTAAACATTCTGCTTCCCCTTTCTTAGGGTTGTATTTGTTTCTATCGGAGAGTTTAGACCTTGAAAAAGAAAAACTTCTATTTTAGTTCACAAATAAAATGTTTATCCCAATCTTGTTAAAAAGCAATGTTCATTTGTATCAGAAAACCACTAAATAATCTGGCACAATTGGCAGGGGAGGTGTGCAGGATTGGAATACTAAAGTCATAGCAACTGATGCCTGAAGTTAATTGATATAGCTGTGTTTGAAACATATTCATTAGAAGGAGGGAGGTCATACCAGCCTTGTACTCCGGAAAACTAGTTTCAAATTATAGCATAAAGTGGGTCAGAAAAGAAATTAAATTTGCCGCGTGTATCTGAATCCCGTGGGGATATATGTACACATTACAATACTGCTGCACAATTTAACACATTTGTGGTCCATGCTCATGGGAGGCTCAGAACTCGAAGAGAAGGTCGGACTTAAGGTATCCTGGTAGAGCTGTATTGGGAATTCCGGAGAACACTTGCTCCTTGTGAATGCTAATTAATCCTTCACCTTTATGAGAAGACAACTGGCAAAAATGAATTTTGTATCCAACACTTCAAGTGTAGTCCAGGGAATCTATTACAATTGATAATGGATGGTTTCACGTCATATGAAAATTCACTTGGTATCCATGAAGAAAGGATTCCACGGGGTTTGGGAAGTGGGGTAAGGTAGAGGGAGAGAGGAGAAAGGGACTGAGAAGACAGGAACAGAGGCAGTGCAGGGATGCTGCCTACAGCACTGTGCCTTGAAAACCAACTGAATTTCTATCTAGGAGGGAGTTAACACAGGTTTGAGCTATATTAACCCTTTAGGAGCCCAATGGCAGCACCTGCTGCCAGGAGGGATGGAGGGGCAGTGGAGCAACAAACGTGGAGAAAGAGCATTCCCTGCAGACCACTCCAGCATACGCTAGTGTGGGTGTCCCTTTCCCCATGGATTCTATGGGGTTGGAAGGCTTCTCCAACCCCTTTTCCTTGAGGGAATGATTTCCAGGAATCTTCACGAGATTAACCCCCTGGCATTTTCCTGCCTCTCTTGCCACTCCTATGTGTTTCCTGAGCCGGAAGGGGTGATCTGACTCTCAGAGAGGTGATGAGCACCTGCAACTCCCACTGAAATCAATAGGTGTTTCAGACAGACTGTGTCCTATAGGATAGGGCCTGGCAATCTTAACATTCTCTCTATAGTGTTCAACTCAAACTTTCTCTCTTTTTCATCTGTATTTTATCCTAATAGAAGATCCTAATAGATGGAATATTGCTGGATTAGCAACAACAACAATAAGAATGTTCCTTGCTGGCTGGCTGTTAGATCGGACATTTCAAGGCAGGGTATATTCTTGTATAAGTAAATTAAATAAATAAAATATAGTCTCATTTAAAAAATCATAGAAAAGTGTCTCCTGCAAGGAAATTTATCATTGTTAGGTGGAGAAAAGTTGCCTTCAGAGCCTGAAGGAACAATCTTTTTTCTACCACCACTCATGCGGTATTTGTTTTGGAGGCTGAATAGGAAGGGCGGAATGAAAAGAGCGGTGAGCTGGAAGTTGGTTGGAATATGGGGAGTGCTGGGAAGGCAGAAGGATTAAGTGACTTGACCAAAGCCAGAGAGGGAGTCAGTGTCAGAGCCTGGATCAGGCGGCCAGGCACCAGTGAGGTGTAGACGCAAATCCAGTTGAAGTTGTGCAAAATTTATTCAGATTTAACACACAAAATTATAGGCTGCGTTGGTAGCACGGTCTATTACTAAGATTGCCCAACACTTCCCATTATGAGACCATTTTCAGTTGCTTATAACTTTACTCAATTGGGCTGAAATTTTCTTTGCTGTCTACCTCAAACAGATGTTTTCTGGAAAATTACAGTCAAAATGGTGCAGCCATTTCCAAGAATGAGGCTAGAGGAAAATATGTTGTTTTGCCCATGATAAAAAATCCTGGTGACCTTTGCTTTGAGGAGCTTCAGTGCCTCCATGCTTGGAACAGAGACTTAACATTTGGTAGAGAGGTGGTGGCCTTTGTGTCAGGGATATGCCTTTTGCTGTCCACAAGGCCAAGTTGTAAGACTGAAAAAGTGCAGCTTGCACGTGTTCAGTAGAGATTTTGCAACTAAATTCCCTGAAAATTCCATCGGCAGTGGCCTGGGGCTGGGCAGGACTTTCCCTGCAATTGCAGATCTGGACTGCTCCGGGCCAGGCGGGACCAGACCACACATCAGAACTGTCTCTCCTCTGCACCCAATGACTCCCCAACTATTACCTAGGCAGTATGGAAGAGGAAGCCACTTCATTTGAATGCAAAAAAGACTACAGCTTGGCCTGGGGGCAGGAGTAGTAGACTGGAACAAGGAACCTGGTGTGGAGACCAGGACTGGACACTGGCAGTGGAGGGGTTAGAAACTAGGAGTGGGAGTTGGGGGGCGAGTGACTCTGGGATGAGAGCTGTGGGGAAATGTGGGAGAGGAGAGGACTGGGAGCCAGTGGCAGGGGCGGGGGAAGACTAAGGTTGAATGAGGAACTGCTCTGTATGGGAAGGGAGAACTGGGAACCAGCAGGGTGGGGACAAGGTATGTGGGGAAGACAGAGATCTGGAAGGATGAATGAGGTGGGGGAGAGAACTGGGTGAGACTGGTTTGGTAGAGACTCAGACTAGGAACTGAGGCAGGGGCCCACTGACATTGCCCAAGAAGCCTGGTGAGGGAGAGTGGTTGTGGGAGCCAGTGGGGATGGGGAATGTGGGTGAGAGGTGGGAGGGGTATGACTGGAGCTCTGGAAACTGAAGAGACAGGTTGGATGAGAAGCTGGTTGTAGGGAAACTGGGACTGGCTGAGCAAGGAGACTGAGATGGGGAGTCCAAAGAGGTGAAACTTGCTGGACAAGGAGATGGGGATTGGGCTGAGGAGTTTGAGGAGTGGAGACTGCGTCTGGGTAGGCAAGGATAATGGCACTGGGATGCAGAAATAGTTGGAGGGGACAGGACAGAAGTGGTCAAACAGTTGAACAGAATGCGCAGAAGAATCTGTGCCCAGTAGAGACACTCCCTTCCACAGCCTGGAATGGAACCCAAGATTTCTGAATCTCACCATTCCTCTGCTATCAACAAATATCTATGAAACCGCCTCGGACAGTCTCCCATCCCCCTCTGATGCTGGTCCACACAGAAGATGACAACCAACTATTGGTACCTGTTACTCTGTTAAGTGGCAGAGTTCTGTGTGGTGGATCTAAAAGCTCCAACCATGGTGATGACTCATAGGTGTCAATATGATACCACATGATGAAATTTTTGGGAGGGGTTCAGTTCTTTTTAAACCCAGGAAATTACACACAACAAATTATGTTAAAACAAAATTATTAAGGTTGCAAAGTCAAACGCTCAGGAGTTAGAAAATGCCCACATTAAGGTTGCACTGGCAACCTTAATTTGTCTCCCTTGCCTTATAATACAGTCTTTAATTATGTGATCACATACTATTTTTTCTACAAGATCCCTGCTTCATTCAATGAACAGGAAGAGCCTTCCTCAAAGCCCCTCCCTGCCCATCTCCCCAAAGAGCCTCCCTACCTCATTACCCCTCCCCACCCAAATCTCCAAAGCCTCTCTCTACCCCATCCCACCCTGCTAAGGTGACCAGATGTCCCCATTTTATAGGGACAGTCCCGATATTTGGGGTTTTTTCTTATATAGGCATGGCACCTATTACCCCCCACCCCCGTCCCAATTTTTCACACTTTTGATCTGGTCACCTTACACCCTGCCAATCACCCCAACCCCCTCCCCACTCTGCAACCCCTCCCAATCCCACCCCCCCACAGACCCACCCCATCTATCTCATCACAGCCCCCCCAAGCCCCTCCCCACTCCACAGCCCCTCCCAATCCCACCCATCTCTCCATAGATCTCCCAATTCATCTCATCACTGCCCCCCCAAGCCCCTCCCCACTCCACAGCCCCTCCCAATCCCACCCATCTCCCCACAGACCCACCCCATCCATCTCATCACCGCCCCCCCAAGCTCCTCCCCACTCCACAGCCCCTCCCAATCCCACCCATCTCCCCATAGACCCTCCCCATCCATCTCATCACTGCCCCCCCAAGCCCCTCCCCACTCCACAGCCTAGGGTGACCAGACAGCAAACGTGAAAAATCGAGAAGGGGGTGGGGGGTAATAGGAGCCTCTTTAAGAAAAAGACCCAAAAATCGGGACTGTCCCTATAAAATCGGGACATCTGGTCACCCTACCACAGCCCCTCCCAATCCCACCCATCTCCCCATAGACCCTCGCCATCCATCTCATCACTGCCCCCCAAGCCCCTCCCCACTCCACAGCCCCTCCCAATCCCACCCATCTCCCCACAGACCCGCCCCATCCATCTCATCACAGCCCCTCCCCACTCCGCAACCCCGCCCTACAGCACCCCGCCCATTGCAGCAAAGCCCCGCCCCCTTCCCCGCCCCGCCCCGCCCAGGCCCCCTCAGCCCCTCCCATCTCCCCTCTTCTCTCCTCGCTCCGCCCCGCCCTCTCCCCACACCCGCTCTCTCGTGCTGGGCCGTTGAGCCCCGCCCCCGGTGACGTGATGTGCGTAGCCGCCGGCGGGCGCGGGGCGGCAGCGGCAGCTCGTGCCGGAGCGGGGCGAGCAGTAGCGGTTCGTGGCGCGCGGCAATGGGGACGCAGGGGGCCGGGCGGAAGCGGCTCCCCAACCGGGAGCGGCTGACGGCGGAGGACGATGCGCTCAACCAGATCGCCCGGGAGGTGAGGAGCGGGCCGGGCTCGGGGCTGCCCGTCGGTCCGGCCGCCCTGACACGGAACGGAAAGGGGCGGGACTAGGGCTGGGGTCTCGGAGACACACTGCGGCTGGGGGGTCCCTGGGGGACACACTGGGGGGGACGGTGATTACGGGGAGGGTCCCGGGGGGGACACAGTGGGGTGGGGGGGGAAGGGAGGACAAGGGGGGCTGGAGGGGGATAAGGACGGGGGGAGGGAGGTGGCCATGGAGCCTGGGGGCTGGAGGTGAAATTGGGGGAGGGTCTCGGGGGACATAGTGGGGGGAGGAAGAGGGGCTGGGGGGGTAGGGACAGGGATGGGGGGAGGAAGGTAGGACAAGGGGTGTTGGGGGGTGGGGCAGGAGGACAAGGGGGGCTGGGGGATAGGGACAGGGATGGGGGGAGGGAGGTGGCCATGGAGCCTGGGGGCTGGAGGTGAAATGGG